ATCTAGTCTCTAGTAATTCTGCTTAAAGTGCACCAGATTGAAGCATTTTACTTTAAAATGTTCAAACATTTCTTCCCGGTATGCCTGAGAAGGCAGATATGCTGGTTTTTCTCAACAAGAACTGTTTTTAAATGGGGGGGGGGAAGTTTCCTTTAAAAGTTGGACTGTTGCACTGTTGTAGCTTCAGTGGTTCTCAGGTTACAGTTACATAGCAGTGAATATAAACAGACTGATTAATGTCTATATTGCTGTAACCTAACCTGTGTAAAAGTTTCTCGAATAAATGTAATTTTTTATATTTCTTTTCATTCCACACTGTGTTCGGACTCTGAGATAATAAAAAAAGCTATGTGATGCTGAAAACTGGTGTAGGCCTACAGAAATAGGGCTGCACGATGTATTCTTTCACACACAGTGACGTCACGAGCTACCCACAATGCAACACGCGCCATATAAATATATATAAATGCGCCATTTTCCTGGAGGTGCTAATATCCTGGAGGTGCAAATATAAACAGCTAGCTAACGTAGCAAGGCAGAGCGCAGTAGGTTTTTTTTCTGAATTAACGACCGAAGAAATCGCTGCATGTCTTCGGATTACATCTCTGGACTTGAGGGGTGTGCTTTAGGTTGTTACCAGCGTAAACTAGAGCTGTGTGGGTTGTTACAGACTGCCTGCAGATGTATGGAAAAACGACAGTGGCCTTCGTCGATTTTGGCTGCATCTACGTCTATCTTCTGGAAACACCAGGTGAATACCCCACTTGTCACAATAATATTATCATGCCATTGCATATATGTGGTATTTTAGAGTTGACTCGATATTGATTAAGGCAATAGACTATGATATTCAGTACAGGAAGCTTAGCAACACCTAGACGGTGTACGGCTGCTTGCACCTCGCGTAAAACGGCGCAGACCGGAAGTACGGTGTCGCGCTCGGCCCAATACCCGTATGTGTGTGTGAAATAATATCGTGTCGATAATCGCGATATGCGCATGCGCGATATTCACATCGCAGGACGTGCGATTTTTAAAAAACATGTCATGTTACAATTATTTTGCTGCTTGCTACAAAAGGAAAACTTGCGCGGCTCTCATGTCAGGGGAACTTGAGTGAGTGACAGCAAACCACCAATCACAATCAAATCTCCAAAGCAAACGGACCCGGTGATTAAAGGTAAAAACACTGAATAAAGTAGTTTCATTTGTTTCTCCAGGGCAGTTCGGCGCTGCTAACCGAGCTAGCTCAGCTTGTTGCTCTGATAACTTAAGATCCAGACGTCCGTGACTAAAATCCTTCATCCGGTTAAATATAGTAACCAAGTATACAATTGTATAGCATTACATTTCAAGAAAGGATGGTTTGCGGCGAAAAAAACAGTCTTTTTCTTCAATTCCTGTATGTTTTCATATCTGAATATATATTGCAGGGGGAAAGAAATCGCAAAGAAATCGTCAGTTTTTTCCAATATCGTGCAGCCCTAATCAGAAATCAATAATAGAATCAATAAAGAATTGCACTGATACACAGCATCTATCATGACAATAACACTGTATACATTCCCCTCCCTAAATGGTATATTTCTGCAGCTCTAAAACATTCACAGTTTTTATGGAGAACGGGAAAAAAAGAATCCCTGTACTGCCTCAAAGAGCTGTATCATGGCTGTTGACTCAGTCTTCTCTTCAGTGACCCAAATACAGCGCTCTGTGTTGGCAGTGCTACTTGCTTGTTCTGTTTTGCATCATGCATATATTTGGTGTACATCAAATAATCCGCAACTAAAAAAATTACTTTGAAAGGTTGCAGGGAAAGCAAAATAGCCTAACTGTCCTAAAAGCTTATTATTGCGTGTTGGTTATGGGCCATTTTAAGAAAACTGTTGCAATATTTTAGATTGTACTTCAAGGATATGAGCCAATTTGGAGCAAAACATCATTACCTACCAATACTGTTGAGCAGTTAGGCTAAAATGGCTGCAATTTGTGCTCATTCTCTCAGTGTTCAGAGTTGCTAACATGCAAACAAGCAGCACAGATGATGATACTCTTCATCACATGAACACACAGGATTTAAAATGCAAGGCTTTTTCAACTGTGTGTGCAATGGGATGCTGAGTGTATGGAGGCCGCCTTTACAGTAGGTGATTTCACTGATTAGTTTCCCCACTCTAGTTGAATTATGCTAATCACCGACATTACTTAAAGGCAGGCACTTTGGACAACCATGCCAGCAGGAAGCCTAATCTCAGTCGTTCTTTGTTGCAAAAATGTAATTTAATGATCAGCCCATGCTATTAGATAAGGTAGGAGGAGAAAAAACAACAACTCTCTAAATCTCCCTGGAGAAGCCCCATGCTCCTCTTCAGCTCCTATCTTCATACTGTGCACCAAAGTGTAAATAAATCCCTTTGAGATTTGCAGTTTGGAAAACGAATCAGTGCTGTAACAGTCAGGGAGCACGCTAATCTGCTTCAGTACATTTGTTTACTTTTTTACACATCTCACTTTCTTATCTCATGTAGAAATAAGGAATAACTTAAGAGATGCGATGATGTGTGACCTAATCAATCTGTTGATCGGCAGCAAAACACTTTGAATACATTTTAAGATATTGTTAATGCAAAAATGGCTGAGAATTCCAAATCTGTAGCCTATTAAAGTGAATAGGTTTGGGTTTTGAACTAACACAAATGGAAAGACTTTGGACATTTAGAGACCTTGGAATTGGACTTTAGGATGGAAGTGTATTTTTGACAATTTGAAGACCAAAACAACTTTACAAGGTTGCATTTGCCAAACTTTAATTTCTACAACAGATACACCTGTAACTGACTGGGGACATTGGCAATCATTCCCAAACAAAAACAAGCTCTGTTGAAGACCTTGACAGCTGACAGTGGTTTTTTTCCCAATCCCAAACTTCCCTGACATAATGTTCATTTGAGGATTGTTTTCACGTCTGTCAAAAAGTGCCATGATTTGTAGAAAACATTGGACTCACCTGTAACCTCTTTCCTTTACACCGCTAACAATCAGCTAACCAGTAAACATGCAAAGAAGAGAGCAACCCAACCGAACCCCGCACTTAGTCATCGAGTTCACCGGTTGGACGTATGCTATTAAAGAGCCTGACAGTGTTTCCACCAATTACAGTGAACCAGCCAGTCAGTCAGCTAGTGAACGAGTCACAGTGTTGAGAGTGTGCTCATGGAGCATGACAGTGTTTCCACACACCAATTACAGGGAGACAGTGGTACAGCTGTGCGGTGGCTTGGCACTCAGCCACACTATAAGTACCGCTATCGATTGACAGAAAGTGCATGAGGAGAGCGAGCGAGAGAGACAGTCATGCCAAGTGAGGGGAGGAAGACGTGGAAAAGAAAAAAGAAAAGCCACGCTGAAACTCCTAAACTCTTTTTCTGTCTTTGTGTTGGTGTAATGATGCATGCAGTCACATTGAAGCGCCTGTTTGTTTATCGTGCATGCGTCTGTATTCATAAGCGCTCTCGAAAATCGGAGTTTCAGTACTGAGGAGACTCAGATTAAAAGTGACAGGCCTGCCTCATTCATGCTCTTTTCTCCTCTCTCCACTGTCTCTTCTGATCCTGCTAATTATCGCAGTCTGACAGCTCAGGAGAGGAAGAAATACAGAGGGCGAGGGTGAGCGTCAGGCAGAGGAAACAAAGAGAAGGGAAACGTTGTTGTTTTTTTGTAACAATGAAATAAGGCAGAGCGAGCACGAGAGAGTTACAAAGAAAAACTGATGTGATGAGAGAGAGACTCTGAAGCAGTTTATCTAGCTTTTTAATGTTAATAAGGGTATGAGGTTATTAACTTAATGGAGTCGGGATGCTTTATTTTACCACTAAGTTGCACAATCACCCACAATTCCCCGAACCATCGCAAAAGACAGAGAAGTTGGCATGGTTGTGGTGCACCTTAGAATACATTAAACTAAATGTACTAGCGGGGGTAACTCTATAGATCATACATATACTAATTTGATTCATTTCAAAGTTTCTCTCTCTCCGTCACGCAGACAGAGCAATATTTTGGAATTTATTTGGTCTTTTTTTCCAAGAGTAAGGTGAGAACATTTTTAGTATGTTATTTCATTAGATAGATTTCACTTTTAAATTAGTTCTGGATGTGTATTTAGTAAATATATTTTATTTATTTGTATATGCATGCTTCTTGAGTGATATCAAGCTATCTTTGGCTCTTTGCTGTAACAATTGTAAATGCCCCCTCTGTGGGACGAATAAAGGTATTTTGATTCTGATCCTGATTAATGTACATTGTCTTTTGAGTGTGATTATTGTCTCTAATTCAAATTGATTATTGTTATTAATATCACTATCAATGTCTTTGGATAGAATCACTCACGATATCCAAACCCATTTTCAACAGTCTGTAGTTTCTTTAAACTCTCCTGAACGTGTATTTTGTATATTTAACTATATAAACAACTTTTAAAACACAGTTTTTGTTTTCTTATAGTTACATGCTGGAGGCTTTTATGGTAATTTATTTAACAAGCAGGTTGTTTTAGCTGCACTTAGCTAGCTAATTAACGCTAACTCACTGTGATGACTGAATAACATTCATTTGCTTTTCTCCTGTGCCCACCAATCATGATTGGAAAATTCCAAACTAGCTGGTATGATACAGTAGCAAGGCTAAATACATCCCTAGCTACAAGCTTAAATACATCCCTAGCTACAAGCTTAAATACATCCCTAGCTACAAGCTTAAGGTTAATTTACTGCCTCATGTCAGAAAGAAAGCAAATAGGTGATGCAAATATAATAAAATAATAAATATGAAGTGCTACACATTTACAGCAGCACTCACTGTTAGGGACAGGTCACTTGTATTAGTTACAAGGCTGTTCAAAGCCACGAGCCTAGGCGTAACGGTGTGTGTCCTTACTGTATACTTGAGTTTAAATTGCAGAGCATACTGGAAAGTACTCATTTAGCTCCAGTACTTACAGCCAGGAGTATCTGCAGCGAGGAGTGAGCCACCTCTATGAACTGGAAACCCATCAGACAGCCGGATATAGATATATATCGGTGGTCTTCGGGTGCCCAGGAGGGAGGAGGGGTGATGGGTGTCACCCTGCACCCCGGGCCGTTCTCCATCCACCAGGAGCGATGCATGGACAGGTTGAACGTCAGGACAAGGTCAGAGTCCTGGCGAGAAAAAGTCACAGAAACAGACAAAGAGAGAGTTTAATTACATATTCATACACGAGACGGACCTGGAACAAGCTTGAGATTTAATTAAAACTAAAGTGTTTGATGGAAGAGGAAGAAAAAAGGTTTGAACCGAGCTAAAAATAGATCCCAGACTTATAATTCCATTGATCTACGATCACTCAGATTAGATGTGAATCGTGCACAGGCAGGGTTATGATGAGGACAATAACAGAGGGAGAAGGAAAATGGGAGGAGGCCACGGGAACCAGAGAGAGGTTGAGAAAAATCTTTTAAACGTTTTAGAGATTCTTTGTAAGAGATAGAGGCTTTGTGCTGTGGTGTCATTGGAGGTTTAGAAACTTAAAGGTCCCCTAGTATACTGTTTTTCATCAATATATTACAGGTCTCAGATATATACAGAACATGTCTCATAGTGTGTTTGCCTCCAAATACCAAACAGATCATGCATTGTAGCATCCCATAATCCCCTCTGTTTCAGCGCTGTTTCAAAAGTGCTGATTCTGCGTCTTTTACTTTAGATGAAAATAAGGAGCCACTCCCCACGCCCCTCTGAGAGAGATTTGGTTAAAAAGAACACAATGATGCTCTAGGAGGAGATTCAGGTGATAAGGTGGGGGGGGTGTTACCTTGGTTGGTGATTGGCTAATGGTTACACAAGCCAAAAAATCGTTATGACATCATAAAGTGGCCATCAATCAATCAATGTTTATTTATATAGCCCAATATCACTTATTTTTCCTTTGTCTCAGTGGTCTTCACAGTTTGTACAGAATATCAGTATGACAATACGACACCCTTAGACCCTCACATCGTACAAGGAAAAACTTCTGGAGAAAACCCACAGTTTAAAGGGAAAAATGGGAGAAACCTCAGGGAGAGCAACAGAGGAGGGATCCCTCTCCCAGGACGGACAGACGTGCAATAGATGCCGTGTGTAAATTGTAAATGGCCAAAATCTGATCAGCTCATTTTCAGACAGGTTGTTATATAAATGGATCAGGACAAAAAGAGAGGGGGTCTTTCTTCCTGAAACGTTCAGAATCTCTTTACACAGAGGGGACACATGTTTATGTAGAAAAGACATGAAAAAGTGGATTTTGCATAATAGGTGACCTTTAAATTATACTGTTAAGGTTTTAGTCAACAAACTCATGATTGGTTCCCCTGGTGTATTTCTCCTCAAGCAAAAACAATGCCAACAAAACTATAGCTACCATTAAAAAGAGAGATGCATTATTGTAAATGTTGCAAACATTAGGGGGTTATTAGCCACACTGGCATATGGCTCCACATATGGAATGTCTTTGGTCCAGACTGATGGATACATTGGTACAGATATATATTTATGGTGTGGATAAATTGTTATAACTTCTTAAAGCATCAACAGCAAGCCCTGTGAAATATGTCTACATCTTAGAATAAGGACACATGATTAATTCAAATGACTTTAATGTCCTGGTAATAGCCCTCAATCTAGTACTGCCATGATTGATTGATTGATTGATTGATTGATTGATTGATTGATTGATTGATTGATTTAGTTTATGGCCATCCTCCAAATATCTGGAACAAACTCCCAGAAACCTGCAGGTCCGCTGCAACTCTGACTACTTTTAAATCCAGGCTGAAGACTTTTCTTTTTGCCGCTGCTTTTAAATGATATATTCGTATCTTAAACTGCACTGTAACTTTAATTATCTTTGCTTTTATCATTTTAAATGAGTGTTTTTAAATGTCATTTTATAATATGTTTCTTAATACTCTTAATGTCTTTCATTTTTGTAAAGCACTTTGAATTGCCTTGTGTTGAAAGGTGCTTTAAAAATAAACTTGCCTTGCCTGCTACATTAGCAATTAGCTGTTCCTCAGTAAGGCTACACAGAGACACTATAATATCTGTGTACAATCTGAGTCTTGTTATTCTACAGAAACAAAAACATTGTTTTCTCTTTATTTGCTCAGCCTGTCCACCACAGCATGAGCAGTCCCATCACTGGCAGAGATAACTTGAAACAACAGCCAGAAGCGGCAAAGAATAGCAACACGAGTAAATAAAAACACATCTTTGTTCCTTCGTTGTTTCGGTTCCACTTCACAGCAGCAGAGAAAGAGCACAAAGCAAAGCCCTGCTGCAGTAATGTGCTGTGTGGGGTATTTGTTTGGGCTGCTCTACAATCCTTTACATTCTAAAAGCCTGAAAGACTCACAATAAATGAGTTATAGATGTCTTGGTTTAAATAATGCAAATATTAACGACACCATTTAGCAAGGAGGGACATAGATCACTCCACAGATGGCCATGCAATGTGCGTACACACACACACACACACACACACACACACACACACACACACACACACACACACACACACACACACACACACACACACACACACACACACACACACACACACACACACACACACATGCATTAAACACACTTGTTTTTCTCTTGCACTGCTTTGCCATTAGTCTAATGAAAAGCCTTGATGCTTTTTAAAAGCACTGATAGCAAAAATGACTTTCCTTTCATTTGCTAATTTTCTCCTTGATGATACATCGTTTTTACCAAGACATCAAAATAGTGATTAAACTTAGTTGTACTTGTATTCATCTATCAAGTCCTCTAGCAAGCTAAGGTTTTCTTACTGTGTGATTGATATTATACATTAACTTCAATCTTAAAATCAATACATAATATTGAATAATCTCCCCAATGAGACAAAAACCCACTTTAAAGTACATTTCCACGCGGACTATATCATTAAACAACTGCAGTATAGAGGAGTTAAGGGGTAACACATCCCATACATTGGAAAGCTCAGAGCCTTTTCAACCAGACTAATTCTAGTTAAGACCCCAAATGGCAGATATTTAAATAGAGCCAAAGGTTTTAGTTCCTACATCAATACTATAGGTTCTGTTTTAGGTCCACTTTTATTCTCCATCTACATCAACAGTTTAGGTGAAAATGTGGATGAAGCTACTTTACATTTGTATGCTGATGATACCGTGATGTACTGTGCAGGTCCCTCCATTAAGGAGGCTGGTGTTAAATTACAGGCTGTTTTTAACATTATTCAGACTCAGCTCTCTGAACTAAAGCTTCTTTTAAATGTTGATAAAACTAAGGTAATGCTATTTTCAAAAGCTAAAAAGACACCAGAGCCTGTTTTGGATATTGTTACTATGCAAGGACAAGTACTCAAAGTGGTTACCTGTTATAAATACCTTAGTATCTGGCTTGATGATTGTCTTACTTTTAAACTTCATGTCAATAATCTGCTTAAAAAGCTGAGGGTTAGACTAGGTTTCTTTTTCAGAAACAAATCCTGTTTCTCTTTTGAAGCCAGGAAAAGGCTAGTCACTGTGACCTTTTTACCTGTGCTGGACTATGGTGATTTGTTGTATATGAATGCACCTGCCTGAACAAGTTAGATGCCACCTATCACAGCGCACTGAGATTTGTCACAAACAGTAAAGCACTTACTCATCACTGTACCCTGTATGCCAGGGCATGTCTGCCATCACTTACTGTAAAGAGGCTCAGTCATTGGTACACGTTTATTTATAAAGCTTTGTTGGGTAAACTCCCGTATTATATCTGCTCTCTGATAACACAGAGAGTTGCAAGCAGCTATTGTCTGAGATCGCATGATGTAGTATTGTTAGATGTGCCAAGAGCAAGGACTGTCTTAGGTAAGACAGCTTTTATGTGCGCAGCTCCATTTGCTTGGAACAATCTTCAGCAAGAATTTAAACTGAGCAATCTCATTCCTCTGCATGTTTTTAAAGCTAGGCTAAATGAAATGCTCGTTGATACTATGGCCACTTGTAAATGTCTATAACTATGTAAATGTATCCTGTATATATAAATATAATGTATAATGTCCTTTATTGTTTTATGTTTCATGTGGAACCTATATGCTGCAGGTCTCCCTTGAAAAAGAGATCTATGATCTCAATGGGACCAATCTGGTTAAATAAAGGTTTGAAATGAAATGAAATGAAATCTGTTTCTACACTGCGTATTCACTCTGTCTTTACCTGCCCCACTTATCCCCCCATCACACCTATACTTGACTCTGTCACCTCCCTCCATATTGTTCTCTTTCTTACTTCTTTAATTCATGCCTTGGTCTCTCTTTCCTTTCTCTCCCCCCTCCCCTTTTTCCTCCCTTCTTTTTTCCCCTTGGCCTCTCTATTTCAGGGTAATGAGTAAATGCCTCATTAGCTCAGAGCTTGATTAATGCCATCTCCCCTTGTTGTGCTCCTCTTTTTAATGAGTAAAATCTCTCAAAATGTCCCTCTCTCTCTCTCTCTCTCTCTGCCATCACTCTCCCTCCTTCTGTCTTTACTGTCCCTGCCTTGCTCCAAATCTTTGTCCCTCTCTTTTTATATTTCATAATCTCCTTCTTGCTCTTGTTTTTGACTGCTTCCTCTTTCTTTCTGTTACATGGGGTTGGGAGGGAGGCATTTTTTCTTTTAGTACAGTCTCCATCAGTGCTTTTCTAATGAGCCTCTCGAATAAACACACACAAACAAAGAAATAAGTAATTATCAGTGAAAAGCTGGATTTGGCTAAATGTCATCAAGGCAAAGCAGGATGAATGCTAATACTGCCTCTCACGTTGTGAAGGCAATGAAAAGGGACATACTGTAATGGGACAAATGTGCCTGTTATCTTGGTGGTGTTAGTTTGGCAAACTACTTGGGGAATACTAATCCAAATAGACTGCCCATTCTTTTTTATTCCGAAAAAGAGAAAGTAGTATTTAAGTGCTTCTATGAATAATAAATAGACTTATAAAACATGAGCCAACAACAAGTTTAGTTGCAGAGAGCACTAGCAAGATGAAAATGTAAGCAACATTTGAAATTGCTTCAATATGTCTACTTTAAATGTGCAAATGCCGAGAGTTGTCTATATGGTTTCACTTAGCCAATAATTAATACATTGATACGAAACAAAC